TATAACTGCACAACTGTTCCTGACGCCTAGTAGCTCTTCGATGGCGTGCATCCAGGAACAACTCACTACTAGTGTCCGGTTCACTCTCCCTTGTCTCCGCCCCATTAGTCCAAGGCTCAGGCACCTCCTGGTGACCAAACAGCCTCTCTGCGCCCTGCTCGGAATCGGAACCCTGTCCAGGGTCCTCCACATCCTCCAGAGCCGACTCATAGGGCCCCTCGCTGTTGGAGTCTGGTGGCAGCTCCAACGGCTCCTGCTGGGCCACAACATATACCATATTGCCCCAAAGATAAGACTTCCCTGGATAATAAGGCCAATCAGGCTTTTGCACGCACACACTAAAATAAGCCCTTCCCCAAAAAACAAGCCCTCCCCAAAAATATTTAAACGCACGTGCAGCCATTTCCTCGCTATTTCCTCTGGTTGGTTGCCGCGCAAACAACCAGAGGTGAGGCGAGGCCAGAGGAGGGAGTAAGAGAGGGGAAACATGCCCCATGCACCCCACACGCTCTTACATAATGGCCGCTCCCACAACCCTAGCGACCGTGCTCCATCTGTCATGCTGTTGCAAAAAGAGCGGCAGGCACAGTGATGCGCAACACAGCAGAGCCATGAGGTGACCACGCTCACCACCTCCTGCAGCTCAAAAATAATAAGACCTCCCTGAAAATAAGGCCAAGCATTTAGTTTGGGAGTCAACAGAAAATAAGACCATGTCTTATTTTCAGGGAAACACAGTTCTAATCTTAATAGTAATAATAAAATGGGAATCATTATAACATATTTATAATTATATTAGCTTATTTATAATCCTATTGATTATATTAGCATACTTATAGTTATAAACAATATTCATTTTTTACTTGACGATCACAATGCTCTTTCTTCATCTAATTTCTACCTCATCTCTAACCATTGATAAAACCTATTCCATGTTAAATAATACTCTGACATAATTCTTAAAGGGACCTTTTCCTAGACTCTTCAGAGATGCTTAATTCAAAATATCTAGACCATTATGTACCTCTGACTGTCTTATCCTTCAGGTCAACTCCATATTTTGCCAGGGATTGGATAACATCATTCTGACCAACCATACAAGTTGTAAATAGTAGGTTTCTCCCTAGAATATCCTTTTCCATTAAAAACTTATTGACTTTTTCATGATCAGGATCCTCCGAATCCTCAAAAATCTGTTGTAGGTCTTCCATATCACCCCTTAAAGCAGCCATCAGGAGAGGATTAAATTGTGCTGGTTCCTCTTGAGGTCCCAAATCCTCATGTTCATTTGAAGACGCTGTTTCTTCCAAGGGTTCCATTTTCACAAGATTAGCTTAATTAAAAAAATATATTTTAAAGAACAGATTAGGATATGGTTTGTACAGATTCAAAGCAACACCATTTCTATCTACAAAACTTCATCTTTTTATCCAAAACATTTCCAGAATATGTTAGATCACTATACTTTTCACCAGATAGATCTTTCATCTATCCATCTATCCATCCATCCATCCATCCATCCATCCATCCAGTTTCATCATCCATCTATCTATCTATCTATCTATCTATCTATCTATCTATCTATCTATCTATCTATCTATCTATCTATCTATCT